CCATCCCAACCGTGAAGCATGGAAGTGGAAACATCATTCTTTGGGGATGCTTTTCTGCAAAGGGGACAGGACGACTGCACCGTATTGAGGGGAGGATGGAAGGGGCCATGTATCGTGAGATCTTGGCCAACAACCTCCTTCCCTCAGTAAGAGCATTGAAGATGGGTCGTGGCTGGGTCTTCCAGCATGACAATGACCCAAAACACACAGCCAGGGCAACTAAGGAGTGGCTCCGTAAGAAGCATCTCAAGGTCCTGGAGTGGCCTAGCCAGTCTCCAGACCTGAACCCAATAGAAAATCTTTGGAGGGAGCTGATAGTCCGTATTGCCCAGCGACAGCCACGAAACCTGAAGGATCTGGAGAAGGTCTGTATGGAGGAGTGGGCCAAAATCCCTGCTGCAGTGTGTGCAAACCTGGTCAAGACCTACAGGAAACGTATGATCTCTGTAATTGCAAACAAAGGTTTCTGTACCAAATATTAAGTTCTGCTTTCGGAGTATCAATACTATGTCAGCATAAATGCAATAATGATAAAAATCTACATGATTTCTGATTTTTGTTTTAGATCCGTCTTCACATTGAGTGTAGAGAAAATTACCTCATGTTGTAAGTAGGAAACCGAAAAATCAGCAGGTATCAAATACTTTTCACTTAATATTAAAAAATTTTGGGGGGGGGTAGGGGGGATGGGTAGAAGGATTACTTTTATCCTATCCCAGTATTCCTTAAAGGTGTGGGTTTCAAGTGTCTCCGGAAGGTGGTGAGTGACTCCGCTGTCCTGGCGTCGTGAGGGAGCTTGTTCCACCATTGTGGGTGCCAGAGCAGCGAACAGTTTTGACTGGGCTGAGCGGGAACTGTGCTTCCACAGAGGTAGGGGGGCCAGCAGGCCAGAGGTGGATGAACGCAATGCCCTCGTTTGGGTGTAGGGACTGATCAGAGCCTGAAGGTACGGAGGTGCCGTTCTGCTCACAGCTCCGTAGGCAAGCACCATGGTCTTGTAGCAGATGCGGGCTTCAACTGGAAGCCAATGGAGTGTGCGGAGGAGCGGGGTGACGTGAGAGAACTTGGGAAGGTTGAACACCAGACGGGCTGCAGCGTTCTGGATGAGTTGTAAGGGGTTTAATGGCACAGGCAGGGAGCCCAGACAACAGCGAGTTGCAGTAATCCAGACGGGAGATGACAAGTGCCTGGATTAGGACCTGTGCCGCTTCCTGTGTAAGGTAGGGTCGTACTCTGCGAATGTTGTAGAGCATGAACCTACAGGATCGGGTCACCGCTTTGATGTAGGCGGAGAACGACAGGGTGTTGTCCAGGGTCACGCCAAGGTTCTTTGCACTCTGGGAGGAGGACACAACGGAGTTGTCAACCATGATGGCGAGATCATGGAGCGGGCAGTCCTTCCCAGGGAGGAAGAGCAGCTCCGTCTTGCTGAGGTTCAGCTTGAGGTGGTGATCCGTCATCCACACTGATATGTCTGCCAGACATGCAGAGATGCGATTCGCCACCTGGTTATCAGAAGGGGGAAAGGATAAGATTAATTGTGTGTCCTCTGTGTGGCAATGATAGGAGAGACCATGTGAGGATATGACAGAGCCAAGTGACTTGGTGTATAGAGAGAATAGGAGAGGGCCTAGAACTGAGCCCTGGGGGACACCAGTGGTGAGAGCACGTGGTGCGGAGACAGATTCTCGCCACGCCACCTGGTAGGAGCGACCTGTGAGGTAGGACGCAAACCAAGAGTGAGCCGCGCCGGAGATGCCCAACTTGGAGAGGGTGGAGAGGAGGATCTGATGGTTCACAGTATCAAAGGCAGCAGATAGGTCTAGAAGGATGAGAGCAGAGGAGAGAGAGTTAGCTTTAGCAGTGCGGAGAGCCTCCGTGACACAGAGAAGAGCAGTCTCAGTTGAATGACCAGTCTTGAAACATGACTGGTTTGGATCAAGAAGGTCATTCTGAGAGAGATAGCAAGAGAGTTGGCTAAAGACGGCACGCTCAAGAGTTTTGGAGAGAAAAGAAAGAAGGGATACTGGTCTGTAGTTGTTGACATTGGAGGGATCGAGTGTAGGTTTTTTGAGAAGGGGTGCAACTCTCGCTCTCTTGAAGACGGAAGGGACATAGCCAGTGGTCAAGGATGAGTTGATGAGCGAGGTGAGGTAAGGGAGAAGGTCTCCGCAAATGGTCTGGAGAAGAGCGGAGGGGATATGGTCAAGCGGGCAGGTTGTTGGGCGGCCGGCCGTCACAAGTCGCAAGATTTCATCTGGAGAGAGAGGGGAGAAAGAAGTCAAAGCATAGGGTAGGGCAGTGTGAGCAGGACCAGCGGTGTCATTTGACTTAATAAATGAGGATCGGATGTCGTCAACCTTCTTTTCAAAATGGTTGACGAAGTCATCCACAGAGAGGGAGGAGGGAGGGGGAGGAGGAGGAGGAGGATTCAGCAGGGAGGAGAAGGTGGCAAAGAGCTTCCTAGGGTTAGAGGCAGAGGCTTGACATTTAGAGTGGTAGAAAGTGGCTTTAACAGCAGAAACAGAGGAAGAAAATGTAGAGAGGAGGGAGTGAAAAGATGCCAGGTCTGCAGGGAGTCTAGTTTTCCTCCATTTCCGCTCGGCTGCCCGGAGCCCTGTTCTGTGAGCTCGCAATGAGTCGTCAAGCCACGGAGCAGGAGTGGAGGACCGAGCCGGCCTGGGAGGATAGGGGACATAGAGAGTCAAAAGATGCAGAAAGGGAGGAGAGGAGGGTTGAGGAGGCAGAATCAGGAGATTGGAGGGAGAAGGATTGAGCAGAGGGAAGAGATGATAGGATGGAAGAGAAGAGAGTAGCAGGAGATAGATAGCGAAGGTCGCGACGGTGCATTACCATCTGAGCAGGGGCAGAGTGAGTAGTGTTGGAGGAGAGCGAGAGAGAAAAGGATACAAAGTAGTGGTCGGAGACTTGGAGGGGAGTTGCAGTGAGATTAGTAGAAGAACAGCGTCTAGTAAAGATGAGGTCAAGCGTATTGCCTGCCTTGTGAGTAGGGGGAGACGGGGAGAGGGTGAGGTCAAAAGAGGAGAGGAGTGGAAAGAAGGAGACAGAGAGAAATGAGTCAAAGGTAGACGTAGGGAGGTTAAAGTCATCCAGAACTGTGAGGGGTGAGCCATCCTCAGGAAAGGAACTTATCAAGGCGTCAAGCTCATTGATGAACTCTCCAAGGGAACCTGGAGGGTGATAAATGATAAGGATGTTAAGCTTGAATGGGCTAGTGACTGTGACAGCATGTAATTCAAATGAGGAGATAGACAGATGGGTCAGGGGAAAAAGAGAGAATGTCCACTTGGGAGAGATGAGGATTCCTGTGCCACCGCCCCGCTGACCAGATGCTCTCGGGGTATGCGAGAAGACATGGTCAGACGAGGAGAGAGCAGTAGGAGTAGCAGTGTTTTCTGTGGTAATCTATGTTTGTGTCAGCGCCAAGAAGTCGAGGGACTGGAGGGTAGCATAGGCTGACATGAACTCTGCCTTGTTGGCCGGAGAACGGCAGTTCCAGAGGCTGCCGGAGACCTGGAACTCCACGTGGGTCGTGCGTGCAGGGACCACCAGGTTAGAGAGACAGCAGCCACGCGGTGTGAGGCGTTTGTATGGCCTGTGCGGAGAGGAGAGAACAGGGATAGACAGGGTTATTCTGTCTCTCACTGTTCAAATAAACCTACCATTAAAATTATAGACTGAGAATTTCTTTGTCAGTGGGCAAACTTACAAAATCAGCAGGGGATCAAATACTTTTTTCCCTCACTGTATTGAAGCAACATCTCAAGACATCAGTCAGGAAGTTAATGCTTGGTCGCAAATCAGTCTTTCAAATGGACAATGAACCCAAGCATACTTCCAAAGTTGTGGCAAAATGGCTTAAGGACAACAAAGTCAAGGTATTGGAGTGGCCATCACAAAGCCCTGACCTCAATCCTATAGAACATTTGTGGGCAGAACTGAAAAAGCGTGTGCGAGCAAGGAGGCCTACAAACCTGACTCAGTTACACCAGCTCTGTCAGGAGGAATGAGCCAAAATTCACCCAACTTATTGTGAGAAGCTTGTGGAAGGCTACCCAATACGTTTGACCCAAGTTAAAGAATTTAAAGGCAATGCTACTAAATACTAATTGAGTGTATGTAAACTTCTGACCCACTGGGAATGTGATGAAAGTAATAAAAGCTGAAATAAATCATTCTCTCTACTATTATTCTGACATTTCACATTCTTAAAATAAAGTGGTGATCCTAACTGACCTAAGACAGGGAATGTTTACTAGGATTAAACGTCAGAAATGGTGAAAAACTGAGTTTAAATGTATTTGGCTAAGGTGTATGTAAACTTCCGACTTCAACTGTACATATCCGGCTGCTTCACCTGCGGGATCGTCTGAGGCGGTGCTGATGAGTATTTATGTCTGTAATAAAGCCCTTTTGTGGGGAAAAGCTAATTCTGATTGGCTGGGCCTGGCTCCACAGTGGGTGGGCCTGGCTCTACAGTGAGTGGGCCTGGCTCTCAAGTGGCCCACCCATGGCTGCGTCCTTGCCCAGTCATGAAATCCTTAGATTAGGGCCTAATTAATTAATTTCAATTGACTGATTTCCTTATATGAACTGTAACTCAGTAAAGTCTTTGAAATTGTTGCATTTATATTTTTGTTCAGTATACAATGTAAATACTGTGCGAGTTCTAAACAACAGAATTTACATGCCAACGTCGAGCTAGCTAGCTGGCTAAATAAGCTAGGGCATAACAGCTTCTATCTTTGGTTGCATGAACTCATTGCAGACTTTCCATGTTCTGTGTTGCATGCATGTTAGGGAATGACTGACTGCAAGGCAGTTCTTGTGAACAGGGTTTCATAGCTTTTCCTACTCAAACTAACTTTATGCTTATCTACAGTACAGGGAAATTGTGCACCCGTTTGACCATTGCTGAGAACCCACCCCAGGAACCCCTTGTTGAGATTCCACTATGGAGGAGGTTCAGGTGGAGGAAGATGTCACAGGGGAAGGGGACAGAGGTGGAGAACCCAGAGCCACTCTACGCCGAGAGCTATGCAGCAGTGGCCATGGCTGCAGACATGGACCCCTGGATCGTATTTGACTCCCACATAACACCCAGAGCAAAGTTTGACGGCTGGCTGGAGACCAACAGGACAACTGTCCTGCCACTGGGGACATCACTGGACTACAGGAGAGCTGGGAGAGGCTGTTGGACAGCGGGAGACCTGTCACCTTCCAGACTGTGAAGGAACTGGCACTGAACCACGGGGTGCTCACCGGGAAGTGACTGATGCACCTGGACTCAGGCTTCAAGGTGGTAAATTCCCCATATATGGGGTTTAATTGTTCCTTGAGTTCTTCCTATGTCTCGAAGCAGGCTTGTTTCATCGTGCTGAAAATAATTTCTGATCATATCATTGGAGGGTGCTTCAAGATTCAGATTCTATTGTCTACCATAAAAGCTAATTATGTTTTGTTAGGTCTACTTCAAGAGAAATACATGTATTTTAAGTTTACTTCTTCTGTAATTACACTACATGACCAATTGTATGAGGACACCAGCTCTTCGAACATCTCATTGCAAAATCATGGGCATTAATATGGAGTTGGTCCCCCTTTGCTGCTATAACAGCCTATAAATGCTTTTCACTAGATGTTGAAACATTGCTGCAGGGACTTGCTTCCATTCAGCTACAAGAGCATTAGTGAGGTCGGGCACTGATGTTGGGCAATTAGGCCTGGCTCGCAGTCTGTGTTCCAATTCATCCCAAAGGTGTTCGATGGGGTTGAGGTCAGGGCTCTGTGCAGGCCAGTCAAGTTCTTCCACACCGATCTCGACAAACCATTTCTGTATGGACCTCGCTTCGTGCATGGGGGCATTGTCATGCTGAAACAGGAAAGGGCCTTCCCCAAACTGTTGCCACAAAGTCGGAAGCACAGAATTGTCTAGAATGTCATTGTCTGCTGTAGCGTTAAGATTTCCCTTCACTGGAACTGAGGGGCCTACCCCGAACCATGAAAAACAGCCCCAGACCATTATCCCTCTTCCACCAAACTTTACAGTTGGCCCTATGCATTGGGGCAGGTAGCGTAAACCTGGTATCTGCCAAACCCAGATTTGTCAGTTGGACTGCCAGATGGTGAAGCGGGATTCATCACTCCAGAGAACGTGTTTCCACTGCTCCAGAGTTCAATGACGGCGAGCTTTACACCACTCTAGCCGACGCTCTGCATTGTGCATGGTGATCTTAGGCTTGTGTGCGGCTGCTCACTCATGGAAACCCATTTCATGAAGCTCCCGACTAACAGTTATTGTGCTGATGTTGCTTCCAGAGGCAGTATGGAACTCGGTAGTGAGTGTTGCAACCGAGGACAGACGATTTTTACTCAATACGTGCTTCAGCACTCCCGTTCTGTGAGCTTGTGTGGCCTACCACTTCGCAGCTGAGCCGTTGTTGCTCCTAGATGTTTCCACTTCACAATAACAGCACTTACAGTTGACCGGGGCAGCTCTAGCAGGGCAGAAATTTGACGAACTGTCTTGTTGGATAGGTGGCATCCTATGACAGAGCCACGTTGAAAGACACTGAGCTCTTCAGTAAGGCCATTCTACTGTCAATGTTTGTCTACGGAGATTGCATGGCTGTGTGCTCAATTTTATACCAACAGGTGTGGCTGAAATAGCCGAATCCACTCATTTGAAAGGGTGTCCACATACTTTTGTATATGTAGTGTATTTTAAACACCTCTAATTAGTTGTATTGTCAGTTATACTGTATTCAGTGACATTGTGGGAAGTAAAGTAGGCTACACATTGTACAATCACTTATCACACTTAGTTTTCAATTCATTTCATTTATTTCCTGTATATACTTGTCCACAAAATATTATACAATTGTCAGTTTTTAGTAAGGCAGCATTGACTAAGTACAGAGTTGGGTCCTTCCACTGATTAGGTACCTTTTGAGTAGTGTAACTTGGTGAAACAAAGTTATCAACTTATTTTAACATCATAAAGAGCACATGTTCAACTTAATCAAAATAATGTTTTCCCATCTCAAAATATATATATAGTAAAGTAACAGGGTTGACAACTTCATCTTAAATCATCCATAAATCCCCTTGTGACAGGGGAAATGGAAGCTTGTGTGCAACAAGGAGGGGCAGTTGAATACAAGCTTCACAAAAAAATGTTTATTGGTAAAACATTTCCTTCAGAAAGTATTCATACCCCTTGACTTATTACACATTTTGTTGTGTTAAAGCCTGATTTCAAAATGGATTAAATAGATTTTTGACAAAGTGAAAACATGTTTCTAGACATTTTTTCTAATTAAATACAGAAATACTGTATCTCATTTACATTAGTATTCACACCCCTGAGTCTATACTTGTTAGAATCACCTTTGGCATCAATTACAGCTGTGAGTCTTTCTGGGTAAGTCTCTAAGAGCTTTGCACACCTGGATTGTACAATATTATCACATTATTAAAAAAAATATTGAAGCTCTGTCAAGTTGGTTGTTCATCATTGCTAGACAGCCATTTTCAAGTCTTGCCGTAGATATTCAAGCCAATTTAAGTCAAAACTGTTACTAGGCCACTCACGAACATTCAATGTTGTCTTGGTAAGCAACTCCAGTGTATATCTGGCCTTGTGTTTTAGGTTATTATTACTGATACACCACCCAAAGTGTAATTAATAACTTCACCATGCTCAAAGGGATATTCAATGTCTGCTTTTTTTATTTTTACCCATCTACCAATAGTTGCCCTTCCTTGCGAGGCATTGGAAAACCTTCCTGGTCTTTGTGGTCGAATCTGTGTTTGAAATTCACTGCTCGACTGAGTAACCTTATACTGTATATAATTGTATGTGTGGGGTACAGAGATGAGGTAGTCATTCAAAAATTATGTTAACCTCTATTATTGCAAACTTATTATGTGACTTGTTAAGCACATTTTTACTCCTGAACTTATTTAAGCAGCTCATTACAAAGGGGTTGAATACATATTGACTTTGTCAAAGAAACAAAATAACCAGGGTTTAAACTGATGGTGAGAACTAAATGTTGGGGTTAAGTGGGTTAAATTCTTCCCAGAGGATGCACAGAGGGACATGTCAAAATGTCAGATTTATTGAATTTTCCATGTGGTCTATATTAAAGGGCATTTCATTTAATATTTGCGCACAATTTCTACTTAAAATATCAAAGGGACGTAAAAGGCACTCATTTCATGGAGCGGCCCAGGTAGGTTTTAAACATGTCTTCATCCAGGCTCTGTCGTAGCCGACCGCGACCGGGAGACCCATGGAGCGGCGCACAATTGGCCCAGCATCGTCCAGGCTAGGGGAGGGAATGGCCGGCAGGGATGTAGCTCAGTTGGTAGAGCATGGCGTTTGCAACGCCAGGGTTGTGGGTTCGTTTCCCACGGGGGGCCAGTATGAAAAAAATCAAATAAATAATGTATGCACTCACTAACTGTAAGTCGCTCTGGACAAGAGTGTCTGCTAAATGACTAAAATGTAAAATGTAAATGTATTATTCTGCAGCTGAAGTGAAATAATATAAAGCAAACCACACTGTGAATTAGCATAAATGAAATAGTGATGCACAGAAATGTTAGATACTGAGTCAAAACTACTAACATGATATAGAATGAGTCTGCTACATTTATAACCAACAATATACTTCCTGTTCCAAAGATGTATTGAAAATTAAAACGACAAGTTATACTTACAGATGTTGACATAGTAAAACTGTACATAACATTAAGATATCTGTCACCAAGGTGAGTACTGTATTTTTCACGTATATATCATCACCTAAGGCTTATGCACATTGAAATGACAATGTATTCTTGTCTTGCTTTACAGTATTTGGTCATATTCCACTACTTTAGTATACCTCACAGCCAGTAATAAACTATTCAGATTGTCATTTTGAATGGCCATAATGCATAGACATCTGCACAACTCATCTACAAATAGACGGACCAACAAGTAAGGCTTTCCATTGGTTGTTAGAAAATTGGGAACTTATTTTATGTTTACAAAAATGATTCCCTTTTTAAGAAATATTTGCCCATTCACAAACACCAGACAGTCTCAGCTGTGAAAGCCAAGGTCGACAATATTATGACCCGATTTCTTGTCAAAATCTGAATCTTCTGATAATCTCTTCAAGGAATCCAACAGAAAATAGTACACAAAAAAGCACAATATAAAAGATGATGATTTCATTTATATTCTTATTTGGAGAAAAACCAAGGGCCATCCCAAAAGGCCTTGATAGACATTGTGGATGTCGAGTGAATTAGGTGCAATCATCAACATAAGTATTTTAGTAGAAGGTCAGTTTGGGAAAGTGGTCTGTTAATGTTTTCCCTAGGTACAGATCTAGGATCAGCTTCCCTTGCCCCAATCCAACCTTAACCATGAGCGGGGTAAATGCAAAACTGACCCAAGATCAGTGTCTAGGGGCAACTTCACCCTACTCCCCATAATAGAATAATGGTCACATTTTGTGATCAATTGATTGGTTGGCAGGTTCAAAGGCTTGGTCCAAGGAGCTAATTATCTCCTTTCTGGCCACGAAAATGACCAATGAGCAGAAAGGTGGACAGGAGACAGACGCTTTGGTACACTAACCAGTGATATAAACTCCTGGTCTGTTGGCTCATCAATTTCTCCACACCTGGACTGTCCAGTGCATACGTTGATAATGATTAAAGTAAACACATATGAACCCTGAAGCTCTGTGGGAACAGAAGTGAATACCACTGCCTTTGGAGACTAGAAACAAACCTGGGTTTATACACAACCCAGTGGGGGTGTATCTTTAGGGGTTGACGAAGAGGGACGCTTCAAGTCATACAGTTCATCCTCGGGTCTTGCGATTGCCCACAAACTGGCAGATACAGAACTTCCCTGTAGCTCTTCCTTCTATTCACTCTGTTCATTGTGTACAGGCAGGGTTCTGCAGCTGTCCTAATAAGCATGTCCACAATCCACATAGAGAAGAGAGCAGAAAGCACCACCTTCTGACTCTCTTTCAGCCAGCCTTCAAATGATTCTCCTTTGTAGCCCTTTAGAATAGCAAGTACAAAGGGAAGTTGAGTTGGAGGGGCCCAAGGTCTCAAGGGCGAGGGAACAGATAAAAGTAGTCTGCCAGGGGCATTATATCAGTAAACATGTCAGTCAAATCACACGGTTGTCTCTTAGGTCTGATTTCTGGACACAAAA